GCTTCCTGGCAGAATACGATCCTTCGCTGCTGATCTCTTATTATTACTCGCGCCGTATACCCTTTCTTTCTATTAAACTTCGGAAAGTGACGTGGTTACTCAGTTCCTTGAAACGAAATTTTTCATAATAGAAGCAGAGATTCGAATATGCTTCGAAGCTTCGAAGTTAATTTTAAACTTCAAAGCTTTGAAGCTTCGAAGGTACCTTAAACTTCGAAAGGTCGAAGTTAACTTCGAAGCTTCGAAAGAATTCGAAGTAGGTGAAAAAAACAGCCCTAATAAATAAATAAATATATATATATATATATATATTACATATATATACCTATATAATATGTATATATTATTTATATATTTTATATTATATTAATATATTATTTTTTAGTCTCTCTTAACTTTCTTGTCCTTCTCACAGCTATCTTATCCTTCTCACGACGCTCTTGTCTTTCGTATGACATTCTTGTCTCTCTCACAACTTTCTCGTTTCTCTTACGGCTTTCTCATCTTTTCTACGGTTTTTTTTTATAGCTTTTGCCTATCTCCCTGTTCTCTCATTTCTCTCACGGTTTTCGTATTTCTGTCACAATTCTCTAGAAATAAATTATAGATTCACCAATTCAAAAAGATTATAAGAACTAAAATAAAATACTTTAGAAATGGCTTATGTAGTTAACTGAACTTTCAACCTCAATGTTATGACGTGTAATTATCTCAATAATAATATCTCAATCATACTATTTATTGTGCAGACCACATTATAGAGAGATAACAATAATGCTTTGGTTAAGGTAACCACATAAAGAAAGATGTTCTAACCAAATGTTTTATCCTAAGCATTACGGACCATACTAATAAGCGTACCTTAATAGATCTATACCATGTAACATCGGTATATAAATTAAATTCACATGAATTTCTTTTCCAAACATAGAGAATATTGATGTAACAATTTTTCCATAATCCTAATTCTATATAATTATCCTAATTATATTTTATATTTCACGAAGTGAGCTTTTGCTTTTGCGTCTCTGCTTGTCAGATAACCAGAAAGTATATTTGCGATTTTAATTTAACTTTCATTTATAACTCGTTTCTATATCAAATATCTTTGATAAATAACTCTTGATAATTTTTAACCTTTACTGTCAAAATATACATCA